TTTTATGGGATACAATCACTAGTTTATTCTAAAAGCACGACGTTTCGACAAGTATCCTCTTATCGTTATCAAGCACAAATGATGCTTGATAACGATAAGAGGATACTTGTCGAAACGTCGTGCTTTTAGAATAAACTAGTGATTGTATCCCATAAAAACTGTGTTCTGTTAATGTGTTCCCCGATCGCTAAATGCCACTTAAAGAATATAGATCATAAAGTCTGTAACTGAATCAAGCAGCGTGATTTTGATTCCAATCTTTAGTATAAAAATGTACCATAAGATACATCAATTATTTTGAGAGAGAGAGAGAGAGAGAGAGAGAGAGAGAAACGGAGTTTAACGTCCACTCGACACAAACTAGGTCGTTTCGGGACTAACACATGGTTCAATTTTATTTCAATAATTCACTTGTGCATAGGGGTCTTTAGCAGTGGGGGGAAACCGGAGGTCCCGGAGAAAAGCCACGAGGTTGGACAGGCGACACTACTCCTTGTCACGTACAGCATGGGATTTGAAACCGCGCCAGTTGACTCAATGACAGACCTTATGATACATTCGCCCCCCCCCCCCCAGTCAATCATTTTGAACCCAGTTAGATCTTAACTTCACTTCAAATTTTGAACACGCATGCGTGAACAAGAGAGCGGGTGGCATCGCCTAATTTTTTAATCAGCCATTTTCTATTCGAAGTAAAATTTGGGTCGTTAACAATTCCAATTATGAAATATTCAATTATAATTGACTTTGTCGGATATGATCCTTTTAATTAGATAGCCATGATAATGGGCAGTCTTGTCGCTTGGATGTTTTTGTGCTCCTGGCGTATTCTAGATACCGTACGTCATTTATCACCATGACAATAAACAATGTAAAACATATTAAATTGTTAATTAAATATACAGTGAAAATGTTTTTATTTTGAAATCAGTTTGCCAATTATCCTAGTTAATTGTGATTGAATGATAAAGCTCTACTGTGCCATCATTCATTCCTCCGGCTACATAAAAATGGCTGCCAATATTGATTCGTTGAAAAACTTGTATTGGAATCTAATGAGAGAAATAATTTTTGAACAATTTAGCCTAAAAAAGAAAATATTAAAAGTAAAGACAACCTGTCGTTAGCAAACAGCTAACACGCAGTAAACTGTTTATTATCAAAAATCAAAGCTTTGAAAGATGTCAATTTCTTTGGCTTCCACCATGCTATTTGTCAATTACAGAAAATATCAAAGGTGATTGGCTGTTTTGAGGCGGCAGTTCTTTGGGCAAATGATGTCGCCTTTTTTCAGGAATAAACGGTATCCACTAATATCTCATTAGCTTGAAAACATATAATATTCAAAAGAAAACATAGGACGTCGACATTAGCGATAAGCACAAAACAAAAATTCGGAAAAAGTTAACTGTCAATTTGATACTTTTTCACAAAAGCAATTATCAAATTCTAACTTTGTAATTGAAAAAGGAATAGAATATTTTTCACAGCACGTGCGTAAATTAGGTTTCAGCCAATTAAATGTAAATATAGTAACATCAGCAGAAATAATTATAGACTGGGGCATCCATGTTTCAATATGTAGCCCAGTTTAGCACGAGACAGAGTTTGCTTATATTTTCTAGAAGACCTGACACCACTTCTCATTAATTTGGTAAGGTGACAAAACTAGCAACTTTTATTATGTAGGCCTATTATCATTTTTACTGCTATTGCTGATATTATGTAACTAAATATTGGTTATCAAAGCTCTGACGTGGCAGGTTTAGTTATGACGTCACTATCGCCTGAACCTTTGACTTTCATCGGGAATTTAGCATGATGGTACCTTTTTAATATTAAAATATTATGTTGTAGTGTATTGGTTCTAAGGGACAGTCATTAAGTCTTGGAAAAAGTAATTAGGATGTCAGATGACGTAAAGAGGGTTGAAAGTTCATTTTTTTCGCTCTTTTAAAATCAGAGAAGGGCATCAGTCTTCCCAATAATAAAAGTGTAGTGAGATGAATGATTTTGATGGCAAAATACTGCTCGCTATTATTTTCATCAGACATTTTGTTAGTCACCAAAAACCAAAAAGGACCTCGGACAAAAAAAACTTCTAGTAGAACATAACAGCGTACGTTTTTATTTTGGTTGCCTTTACCTCTAGAGTGAGGGATATGGGAGTGGGTATTCTTTATAGGGAATTACCATTTCAAATGAGACGTATTAGATAAAACGTGACAGCTCCCAAATATCCATTATTGTGAAAACGACAATCGTCTTAACATGGGTGCATAATCACTTTATAGACCTGTTTGATCAGAAATGTATCTTTCCGATGACGTTTCTGATTTTAGCAGGAGTGAACCGTGTTTCCAATTTCTTGTCTTCTTTATTTGATTCTACATTTACACCAGCACTTAGATAACACACCATCAGCTAATTATTGTTCACAAATTGTTGTTCATCTCATCAGGAGAATAAAAACATTCATTTCGATAAGAGTTGAGCTTAGGCAATCATCGCTGACCATCTATGTCCCACATTCAATCCAATGTTTTCTTTCCTTCAGTCTACGGAAATTGGATTCAGGACCTTTGCTGTTTGCTTAGAAATCACCCGCAGAGATCTAAGATTTCATTTGGCAAATTTCTTGGCTATTCGGAAGCAATGAACACTTGATGTGCATTAGATAGCCTATCTGTGCTAATTGGAGAGTCAACACACAAAGTTTGCTGTTGTATATAACATGACTTGTTTCTTTTCATCACAAACCTAAGACGCCGGTCAAGAGTCACGTCTTCAACTTACTTTTAATCTAAAGCGTGAGTTGAAATGAGCAAACGATAGCTATCAGTGTTGATCATTGGTCTCTTATATTACTCATTCTATGATACATGGTACATGTCGTCAGTCTGGCATTGACATCGGACGAGAATTTAAGAAACAATACTTTTTAAATCGTAAAGATTAAATATAGAGTTTAAGATCATACCATACACAATCACCGGCAGTTTTTATTAAATCGATCGATTTTATACTTTTACAACTACAATTTTATATATTTTCAAACACCTATTATAGTGCTTTAACCTGTCGGTTACTTCCCTTGTTTTGGGCTTTGCACTGGTCTTATTTCTACAAATTAAAGAATCTGTCGTTTTCTTAAGTAAGCTTTCTTGTAAACACACAGAATATCATGACATACACTAGTTTAAGAATAATACATTAATGGAACTATCCTTATTTCCTTTTTTCGTGTTTTACGTTTGTGGTTTATAAGTTTATTTTCATTGAAGTGAAGCCTGTATCATTGTTGACCTGAGACTTACAGCGCAGTGGACGCTTACTAAGAAAGTTCCTGGGCCTGCGTTGACACGGAACAGCTTCTAGATGTTCGGGTGGGTCGAAACGAAAGCTCGAGGTCCCGTGTACACATTGGCGTACAGGTAAAATAACCCTGGCAGTTACAATTCGACAATGGGTAGGGCTAGGTGGAAACGCCTCTGTCCGGATAATATTTCCCCCATAGCACTGTGCAAGCCCTATGTCCGTCTCCGTTATCCTGGTTTCGGACTACATGTGAAGCATAGTTTAGCTCAGTTTTGTCTTTGGGCACTGTTCAGAGTGTTCCCAAGAGAAATTTTAATACGGTGGATGGGAAGTAAATATAAATGCAGTGTTGTTATAACTAAAGAGTGACAAATTTGCAGTTTTGAATGCAAACAAATTATGATGGAAAAGTACCAGATTACTTGTAACCTAGAAAATGTGTATCGTTTTTCGAAAAACACTCATCTTAGTGTCCTTGAGCCTCTATACTTTATTTGAACTGAAACATAGAAGAGCATAATTTTCAATGTGATAGCATATGAAATAAAGCTCAGCATGTATGTGCATATAGTACTAGGAATAAAATCTTACTTCAATAAAACTAAGAAATATGTATCGCCAAGATGTGATATCATTATTCTGGATGTTACCACCTGGGAAGAGAAAACATAAAAATAACCAATCTCAGTGGAAACACTTGATCACTGCATGTTTCTGTTGTTTTGGTTTTATAATCCTTTACAGGAAACAGACTGCCGCCAACTGTGTCTTGTTGGTCACCCACTGTAACAGCTGTCATGCGAAAACATACATGTGGTTCTTTGAGCACGTGGCGTATAGTTTGTAGGGTAAGAAACATGGGATTACTCCATACCTTAGGGCATAATCGAGAAACAAGGATAACAAATATAAACCTTGTTTGTATCTCAATCCCAGTTTGTTTATTTCTGTACATACAGACACGTGCGATATTTGACAAGTGTTTCCTCCTTCACCAAAGGCGAGATCAGTCAAATGTTGAGAAGCCATTATTCCATCTGTCTAGAATGGTCTTTTATACATGTTTATTGTGCGACCTGTATCAAACATTATCTTGTTAATTTCCCGATATACCAGTAATTAAAATTACCAAAGTTTCCAGATTGAACATTAGGTTGCGATATAATATGGGACTAATCAAAAACAGGACAAATGACATGTTTTATCGTAGTATCATATGAGAAGTGATATCTGATGTTCTAGAAATGGTAAGTAAGCCGATTGCACGACGCCTTTCACTAAAGTGGTGAATTAGGTCTGAATTTCAGAGCTGAAGCTAAGAAGATTACGTTGATTGACAACCCCCTTTTGGATTTCAAACAAATATGGTAATCACGTTGTTTAGGCTCTCCTTATCTTGTTCACTTGTTTTCAAATGACGTTGCTAGACCCAATCTAGACCCAATTAGGGTTGGTTGTGGGTCATATTTAGACATTTTGGAAGCCTAATTCCCCAATACTAACATGGATGGATTTCGACTAAATTAAGTAAGTAACTTGCTGGGAAAGTGGCTAGTTGGTCGGCCCCTTGGATCAATTTTGCGTGTTCTTCTAAACCAATAATCACTAAAGGATTCCTACAAAATGGTAGATATTATGTGGCTATTCAAATTTGCTCATATGTTTTCTGGATACCTCTTAAGTTTAAAGGGATGAATTTGAACATTTTCTTCTTACCACTCGAACAACAATTTTTAAGAATGTTGATTTTTAGTTTTGTTAGGCTACCTATGGAAATTTGTAAAGTTGCTTAGCTGCAATATTAGATATTTTATTTGATCTTAGATAAATTATTAATATATTGATAGCTTAATCTTGTCTGTTCATCCCACATAAAAAATATTTACTCGAGTTTCTCGGGTACTGGGTGCAAAAAAGGTGTAGTGATATAATTTTATACACATTACGTCCGTAATTCAGAACAGTAGGACATTAAAGCCCGTTTCATTTCATTTACGTCCGTAATTATTTTGCTATCGATGGCAGCCTCTTAAACTCGGGTAGTCCCTGACTCGAGGGTACTTTGAGAGAAACACGTAACCGGGGAGATAACCGTATTTAATATTTGTAACTGTATCCACGCCACAAATGTTTCCCCATTGCTGGTAATTTCTCTCACGTTGCCCTAATATAAGTTATTGGTGATTATTTTTGCTACCTTCCATATTACTTTCCTCCCAAAGATTATATTGCTTTGATAAATATATATGACTTTAATGGAAATCCAAATGAATTAAACTCTAATTAATAAACCAAATCGTTCAGCAGAAATATGCTTTTTATACCATTCGAAAGTCTTAAATATGTTGACTCCATTTATTTTGTCTATTTTACTGTTTTATTTCATTTCGGCGACACCGACAAATGAATATCCGGCCTTCTAATACACTGTTGATTATCATTTTTAAGATATCAAATATTTTTATTTATAAGATATATACATAGATTTACAAATTATAAACACAATCATCAAAAAGCATACATTATGATAAAATGTAACATATTACATAGAAGCACGTGTACGTTCTTTCCGTTTGAAAAGAAACATTCGGTTCTTCAATTACGCAGAGCAGAATGTGGTGTTTCAAATAAGTGTGATCAAATCAAAGGTTACCTCCCTTGGTTCGTTGAAAAGTTCCTCTTGGTTTGTTGAAAAGTTACATTGAAAACCCACGTCCAATAAAGAAAAATTGCCGAATAATTATGATGTCAACAATACAAATAATCCATCGAACAGTAATTGCGATTTTAATTATATATTATTGACGTTAAAGAAGTCCCCAAGTACCGTTATCAAATCGGGTGCGAAGAGTTAAAAATTCAGTATTAATTATACGGATCTGAATTATTGGTTCACTCCATTCAATAGTAATGTTGTTATCTTACCAAGAATATATGAGCTCCTGATATCCAATATTTAAGTCAGTTATAATGAACAATTTTAAACCAGTACACGACGACGTGTACTATATGCCCTCGAGAGCCATTTGTAATGAGGTGCCTTGGTGAACGAGGCAAAACGCCAGAGAAGACCCATTTGCGCGCTTGTTTTTTCCGGCTACATTACATTTGCATTGGACTAACCTTTTCGCCGGCGGAAACGCGCACATGAAAAACGGGTCAAAGTGCAATGTCAAACAGTACTTCCGATGTAGACTGGACTAACCAGGCGCGAGCGACTACCGTTCAATTTGGACTGCTTACGCGATTAGAAGTTACAATAATTGGAGGGTTTTTTTTAAAGTGGATGTATATCAGTTTATATCATTTATATTGCAATAAAGATGCATTATGTAAGATAACGAGCTGACCATTCTTGCAAAGTTCAAACATAGATAATGAAAAATGAATATATCGAAAATTTCATTCAAATTACTTTATTCTGAGCGAAGTTATAGGAGTTGGAAGATGTAGCACAGATTGTTTATTATCATAGAAACGGTACTGGAACTTCGAGACTTAGTCTTGTTTGTCCATTTTATCGTTAATTTTTTAAATTTCACGGTCATTCTAATCCAGTTAAATCTGTGCCATCCTATGATCTAGAGAGTTAAATAAAGGCTTGGTATGTTAATGAATGTAAATAACAGTTCACAACATTTGAAACCAAAATAAAGACATGCAATAGGTAGATTTAGCTCTTACATAATGAATCTTTAATATGTGTTATTTTGTCACATTATTGACCATTTTAGGTTCCAAAGAATATAGCGATATACCCTTTAAACTAACAGTTGGAATCAATACGGGCCATTTAATGAAATTTTAGCCTTGTATAAATTTTGACATTTTGAAATTACCAAAGTGAACGTGGGACTTTAATTTCTTTTCAAAATAAGACTGCCAAGCACTTAATAAGAAGTTTATTTTTTGTTTCAATTATTGAAGACTATTGCATTTAACATTCCTTTTTTTGACTATTTACAGAGACAAATAACATAGCACGGGCATCCAGGCTAAAATAATATAACTATACACTATAATAATTGTGGAATGTCGCCCACATTTGCATTTAGCGAAACAAATTTGTTGCATAACGTTTGTCTAATGTAAACTCGGTTGCCGAGTTTTATCATTTTTCGATGAGCATTACCGAACTGAACTAAATTCTCATAAACAATCATTGGCCTTGATCAGTATAAAATTCTATAGCCTACGCCAATTAACGAATTGTGGTTCAAAATATGTTTCTGGTTTTTATAATATTTTCACTTGCAAGTCTAATTATTATTTCTGTATTTATTTTAAACTGTCATTTTCCCCACTGGTAATCCAAATATTCTTCAGTTAAACACTTGAAAAGAGCACATAGAGGTTTACACACGAGAATTGTAAATTTCATCATATATACAAATCACAGGAAGCGGCATATCACCATTTACGCACACTAAATTTTATCATAGACTGGTGCTTTTAATAGCTATTGTGCTTCTTTACAAGCATGTAAATCATGGGTGTCTATCAATTACACCACCCCATGTTCAGAATCAACAGCAAAAGCAAGGCATTCACTGTAATTATCACAATATCTGCTACAGATATCCAGGAAGTGCACGTGTATATATCCAGAAATAAAGATTAAAACACAATCCAAGAATACCGGTCAGGGAATATGAAACTTTTACTACCCAAATGAATCCAATCAAAAATTATATTATAATCAGGATTTATCTGAACTAAAATATATAACTAATGATATTCCACCAGCTACTATCACAAATAAAGCCACTACTATCACTATCCATTTTATTATATGCAATCTCTTTCTTTTAGCCATTCTCCTTAACAACAACCGATCGTATCCTTGAGAAACACCATACAAAGCTTCGGTTGACAAATAGCTATCTCTGCCTTCCTGAAAAATGTAACATGACATTGAGTTAAATATCAGTGATACACATTATTACCTATGAGAGGTAGTCGTTCGTTTGAGGTATAATGATTGTCATTACTAGGCCACTTTAATCTAAAATGGAGTAAGTGGCCTTTTAGAAGCGTAAACTATTGGCGAAATAATGTCGGTCAGAATTTTGTAATAGAAGGCCCAATTGGATAATTTCATGGTCCTTAGTACCGCCCCTTCGCCTAGAGACCATGACCCTTAACGGTTTTCACTAATGGGAATATAGGACATTAAACCCCATTTCATTTACTAATGGGAACTTGGATATGTAATGGTTGTATATTTTTTACCTATTTAGCTAAGAGTTTTAACTGAATTCTCATTTTACAAAATATAATCTTTACAACTTCGGTATTGTAAACATGTAACTACTATATATATATCAAGGATCTACTGGTATCTACCATCTACCATTGATAGTACCAACCTTTAGTGCTGCACGGATTTGCTGTTTGATCATTGTTAATATATTTCTACTATGTCTATATTTTTAATTGCATTCCAATTATAATAAAATCATAAAAATGATATTATACCTCTTTGTTACTATCAACATCTATATCTAATGGTATATAAATGTCAGGAGAACCTGTACTTGTTTCACCACTGGTTACAGTATGGGGTGTATCTCTTGACACATGACTTAGGTATTTTGATAAATAAGACGGGGTGTTTAAATCTAAGTACTGAAATTAAAACAATAGCAATACCAAGTTACTATTATTGAAGTATAATTCCAAACTGGATTTTTGGACAGGATATTCATCATATCAATATTTAGTGTAATACACAGAAGTCTTAACCCCAACAAATAGCCATTTTGTCTAGCTTGATCTATATGTCCACCAGTGATAAATTATGAACAATCAGTAATATCCTTTAAGTAGATTCGAATCAGTTACTTGGTTATTATCCATCAAATTACCATACATTCAAATAGACGTAGATGTAATACCAACTGGTATCATAACAAAAACTTACTTACCTGAGCGGACAGGGTGCTTCCAGAACTAATGGAAGATTTGGAAATTGATCCTGGATAGGTATGCCTTTCCGCTTTCTCGTCATCAGTTAACCCATTGTTGTTATCCTCCTCATCATCTATCATTATACCATCATCATCAGTAAATAACGGATTAATTTTAGCTATAGCTGAACTACTAAATATTCTACCACCATACAAGTCTTTGAGGTTAATCCTTTCCTTTTGGTAACGTTTAGGTTTATCTTCGTTAAAAACCGTGTCCTCTGCAAAGGTCACCATTTTGCTCTCCCCAGAAGATACACAAGACTTACGTCTGTAATTAGCTGTTGATTCTTCACAAGATGACGAAGATAAAAGAATTGGTTTGATGGGTTTAGATTCCATGGATTCATCATTGGAAGAGGACGATACAGCAGTCTTTTTGCACCGGGAAGAATTCACACGCCCAACGAATCCTTTACGTTGTATTGACATCCGTGTTCGAGATTCGAGACTCGGAGGCAATGACATAGGTTCCATGCACTCGTTCCAATCAGAGAAAGTCGTTGATAAGTCATGTTGAGTTGGCGTAAGATCATCAAAATGGCTGTCCGTTTCGCTACTATTATCATCATTATGTTCTTTGACACTAGCGGAATCCAGCTTCATGCTGTCACCACTCGAGTCAAAACTGGTCATGTCCATTATGGCTGCCCTTCGAGAGCTTTTTCTTTTAACACGTTTCGGTTCGTGTTTGTAACTTTTTTCAGTCATATCACTGCTGAACGTATTATAATCGTAAGCACACTCCCCATATCCAGTGTCATCATCGTTTGTTGTACGGCTCCCAACACTACTTTTAACACGCTTAATATCGTATTTATGCCGCGCGCGATGTTTACGGTGACTACCGAAACGGTTTGCTATTCCTATCCTCCGTGAACACGCATCAGAATCATGTTTATCAGAATCTAGTAGGGATGAATCCGAACTAAACTTCCTGTCTAGAGGTTTGGGATGAAACAATTTTGAACGCGGGAGACTTTCGTACACCCTGAGGTTGATATCTTCAGCTGTGAGGTCACTCTCCGATTGGCTACGTAGATGGAGGTCCTCATACCCTCGTTCGTGAAATATCGGATTCAGCTTTATTCCGCGTAACCGTCTTCCGGGAAGATGACCACTGAAGAGTGTCTGAAAGAAGCAAAATAAAATCTTCAATAATGTGTTAAAGACACTGGGCAAAAGCTGTAATTCAAACCTACCTCGTTTGACAATTTTGACTGGAATTAAAAAGGTTTTGTCACGTTCAATGTTATTTGCAAACCCACTGAGCGTATCGAATATATATTAATACAAAACTATAAATTATGGTATTAAGTGTAGTATTATCTTTTACATATTCTCGCCATCTTTAATACTGATAGGTGTAGTATTAATAGTAGAAATAACTGGGTAGTCTGTATAATATAAAATTACCCGTGAAATACTCACCCTCAAAGATTCTAAGTTTTACAGTTGAGTTCCTCTTTTGACAGTTTACTTACCTCTAAACCTTTACAGACAATTCAGTCACAATGTCTTGAAAGCTGAAATTAGTCTCTTTTTACATGGTATATTTCTCAGAATATAATAAGTTATATGACGGGAGCTTGATTGGCTGAACATCAAAGTGTTCTTACACATGATTGCCTTACCTTTCTTATCTCAAACAAGATCAGCCCAAATAATAAGACTTTATATTTATTTGCTCATTACACGAAGATGGTCATACATTCAAGGATATAATTGCAAGATGACAAAAAGTGTCTTTTGATAACTTTAGTTGCTTCCCGGTAGACCCATGATATTATGTTCTAATTAAATGGAAGACAACCTCTTTCATGTTTGTATAGAAACTTACCATATACCACGAAAAGCAGAACTTCAATTTACAAATATAAAAATCGGAGTTTATCGGTAGACGATATGAACCTGTGGCAAATGACTATAAATAAGTTACATGCACAAAAGCTTAAGATAGTGTGCGATATCACTCTCGGTATGGGAGCGGGCGTTAAGTCCCACGATCAAACGAACGAACTATATCCTTAGCTATTAAACGAGACGAAAGTGTGCCTCTAGTTTAAAATAAAGTTTCACCCTATTCAAAACGTGCATTTATTTTTATGCATTAAAAGTTTGACACTGTAAATTGACATGTTCTATAGAAACAATCTAACACTCGTATCGTTGAGTCAAGTTGACATTCAAGTAAAATTTAAAAAAAGTGTCTTTCTTTATTTGAAAAATAAAAATATTATTTACACAAAATTTAATTTTCGAGAGAACAATGCTTACCTTTCACTTTGCTGAGTCCACGATGATTCACAAAAACAAATAACAAAATATGTTACCTTTGCCGAATAATTGCATTTTTCCTACTTTGGGCGAAAAATAATATAATGTATCTAATTTTACTAGGATAGAATAATAATTCATTTGCATAGACTGTACAAACAAGTTTGTACAAGCAAATGCCCATCCTTTTAAAATGATATTCACGCGTGGCTTGATTTTATACTACATGGATTTTGTGAATAAGCCTACATTTTTAAGGATGGGGAAAAAAGAACAAGTCAAGATAACTTTATTTTAATTTGAAGTATTTACTTTTTTGACGACTCGTAACAGTAAAACCAGTCTGATTAATTCACTAATATGTCCGCAAATGAATGAATGCATTGGGGTTTTACGTTCTAAATTCCTGCACCGACAGGGATTATGAAGACGGACATACGGTATGTAGTGTTTTATAATGGAAATTTTAGCCGGACAGCAATTGAATTCCAACTGTCATGGGTTCTTTACGTGCACGCCAAAGCGTACACCCGCCCTCGTTTTTTTCGCGTCACATCCGAACGATACCAGCAAGGACAAATGTCGTTTTCCAGGCCCGCTCGTAGTTTTGGATTTCGGGCAATAAACACGGTCAATAAACTAACAAATTCTTAAACATACATTATGCAAGAGCTAAATCTGCCTATTGCAGGTCTTTTTCTAGGCCAGAAGTGTTATTTTAGTTATTAATTAGACATTAATCCAGCGATATTTATTGGATTTGAATACATTCTGTGATGGATGATTTAACGTCAAAATGGGTAATCGAGACATTTTTTTTTTATCGTATCGACTTTAGTAATGCTCATCGAGGCTAGGCCTAAAATTCAAGCGGTGATATCTCGGTTAAGAGTGGAGCAATTAGACTGAAATTTTCAGCCTATTCTCTTCAAGTTATCTATTTTTTAACTATTATAGAGAGAATTGTCTACTCTTTATCTAATTTCTCATAATGCCCATTTAAGGGAATCGGACCATGGTTCTTTTCTCTATTAATGTATTGGGGACCGTGTCTTGGTTTATAACATTTTTATTTTTTTGAACATTCGCTAGATTCTTTTCTTTTTACTTACAATGAACCCAATAAATCACAACTATCTGCTAAAAGTCACAAAGGAAGTTTTATTATAACTACATCCGTAGTAGATATGTACAAACATTCCATACCTATCTGTTTAATTTCGTATGCTTCCGCATTAAAATCATGATCGCCTGAGTCAAAACGTTTCAGAAAACCTACAATCAATTCCTGCCCAACCATTCTTTACCAAAAATATCAAACAAGACATGCAAAAGGAAAGAAGGAGGACTTATCAATTCATAGATGGACTATCAACAGATGGGCAGAAACTAGTTCAAAAAGTTGCCCAGTAAAATTGACTGGTGGCTGAAACTTTTTCTACAAGGATTCAATAGGGCGGTTTCTGAACGTACAAGGCGAGTGTAATGAGAGAGAGAGAGAAATGGGGTTTAACGTCCACTCGACACAAACCAGGTCATTTCGGGACTAACACATGGTTTAATTTTATTTCAATAATTCGCTTGCGCGTAGGGGTCTTTAGCAGTGGGAGGAAACCGGAGGACTCGGAGAAAACCCACGAGGTTGGACAGGCGACCCTACTCCTTGTCACGTACAACCGGGGATTCGAAACCACGCCAGTTGACTCAATGACAGGCTTTATGATACAGCGCGCACGTGCTAACCATTCAGCCATCCAACCCCCCTCGAGTGTAATGAGACCTACGTTCAGAGCTGAACTAGGTAGAAACAACTGTGGCCCAAGTTCCCGCAATTAGAGCAAGTTTCACAGAATGACTTATACAGTGGCGTAAGATGGGTTCTCAGCGTACGGAGATAGTCTTTTACCCGCCCCCAACCGAGAAGAGAAGTCATTTTACTAAATTTTGTTAAATATATAATGATTCTAATTTTAATTTTAAGTTTGTCACTTTATTTGAACACAAAAATAAATCTGACAAAAGAGAGAGCATAAATAATAATCAACGCCAGAGCCCAGAGAAATATTCGCGTCCCATCGCATCTGCGCCCGGAACGAGTGTGCCCTCCCGCCATTCTGACCAACCCTGCATGCTCTGTACCTAGGTACAATTGAATTACGGACCAACACGCACTTATGAAGCATACTGAAACGTTGTACCATGATTATGGTTTGTGCGAAATGATAAGGCCAGCTCAATTTTTCGTCATAGGTCACGAGATATAAACAGGGCTATCGATAATCCCAACCCTAATCCTAACCCTGGACCTAGCCCCAAATGCTTACCCTAACCGTAACCTACAATCTGGCTTATTTAAATCTCTGCGACCTTGACAGAAATTGAGCTGGCCTTAACAAATAGATTTAGCCCATGATTATTTTTCTGCAAACGGAAGTCTTTAAAAGATTATAGTCTATATGTAGACTAACTATACTAAAATAGTCTGAATTGAGAAATGTGTTTACTGAGATTATACTGACTTATTGAAAGGCTTACGATATTCCCGATAAACGTCATGGATTCGACACCTAAATCCTTCAGTCCGACCTCCATGTAGCAATCGCCATTAAAATACTAATTAACCGCCATGTGAGATGGAGACTTGATCACAATTAATTTGATTCAATGATGTGAAACATGCCGAATAAAGAAACTATCCCCATTCTGCTAATTACGCTTAGATTACGCAGACTTAATAAAACCGTGACATATAAACAAAAGGTGACTTATCAGGGTCAAGATCGTGCAGTCCTTACACAAATTACTCACGACGGTTTCATTGAAAAGGGGTAACGATGTATTAAGTATCTCGAATTATTTTGCCTTCCTTTGTGCATATACGAGAAAAAAATGTTCTAAGTTTAACGCTTTGTCGTTTATTAAGGGACACTATCTATATGACCCAAAACAAAGTATATAACGCTCATGTCTGAAGGCCAAAAACACACATAACAAGCAGAAAGTAAACGTTTGATAGGTAGTAACCTAAATAAAGTGTCACACCTCTATTCTTTGGAACTTTAAAAGAGCTAAACAGCTAACTCAATATTTCCTATAATATTCGAAATTGAAAAAAAACATGAATTAGAATTCTAGACTGGTCCATTTCAATCAATATTGATATTGGGATTCTAATATCCAATATTTAAGGCACAGTGAAAATTTTAAAGCCAGTAAAGGAGTCATGTACTCTATGGTTCGGGTGCCATTTGTAACGAACAAAGAAAAATAGATCCTACATGACAAACGTGGCGACATTTATCTTTCTATCGGAAATTAATGTTTATACTTTATGAGTCGCCAGCTTACAGAGCATATGTTTAACAATTTAACCGATATGTTAGAATATGCACATTTACAGGCGCTTCTTGTCTCGAGGAAACTTGCTTATACATGGATATTTACCAATCAAAAATGTTAGGATCGCCCGAGTAAGCTTCTTTTCAATTGATCTCTTGTCTCTCGAATATGATGGTTTGTGGTTCCCTTTTAATTTACTTAGAAATTGGGTTTAATCGTATTCAAGTGAAGGCAATATAACACCGTCTTGTCGCGTATTTCACCAAGGTTTTGGAGTATTTTTGGGTCGTCAAAAATGTAAAGCATTTGGTTGTTCACAGCAATGTGTAGCTACATATAAACTGTATTTAAACCCATGGTAAATACTGGTCTTGTTATCCGTAAGGTACGTATCGATTTTCCATAACCTTTGATCTCAACTGGTTACAATTTAGAGGAAACCTCAGTATTTTAAAACTTTTAATGGTCATATTTATTTTCTTGTTTAATGTGGCAAAATGCAAAATGAACGGAGATTAGTGGTTCTTTCATTATTTGTACAGCAGGGATGATGGACATTAAAAAACACCTTTAATATACCTGAAGGTAATCCTAGAATAAAGAACACTGGTTTGGGAAAAACGGTTACAGAGGGAAATTTTCTTTAAGAGGGGAATCTCTCAAATAAGAAAAGTGTGTATAAAATGCTTATGTAACTAATGTCGTTCAAAGTATGTTGTTTCAAGCTTAACCCTGTATCCAAACCCCTTTCCAACAAGTCAGATAATGTAAATTGAATTGTGGGAACTACCTTCTATCTTTTTTCCATGTGAGATTGTATATAATTTGGAATGAGTCAAAGCTTCAAAAATGTTCCCAACTCAACATCTCTGACTTTTTCTTTAAAATGTAAATATATTATAAATCTATGGTCTTAGATTGTCGGAAAATGTGGAATTCCATTAGATGAAAATATTACAATCTGATTAAAACACAGATCCTATTTCGTTTCGTTTTTTATAGTTCAAAATTTCGTTTTAGTTGTCTTTACTACAGTATTATCTGGAAGAGTTGTTATATAACCCGCGTTCTGGATGATGTGAGGGATTAGTCAATGAAACGGTTTGTTACAGTGCGTTTTTGGCGTGAGGTGCACGGAACTTTGGGTAAACCACTAGAAACGTTGACGGTGATTGATTAATCAATGTCTAACGCTATAAGGTCAACAGCCGCCCGTATAACACCTGACGCGACCTTCCACTACAACTAGTCAGATCTTCATGTAGTGTAGGCCATAAAAAAACGAAACCAAATATAGATCTATATTTTAATCAGATTACAAATTTTATATGGATATCAGTACTGTGGTCAGGGTTGCCAAAAGGAGCTCCTTATTAATGATTACCTTTCGACTAGAATTTGGGTGTAATATTGTCCATATTGTGGGTTAAGTCAATTGTAGAAAAGATACTTACCTGAAAGACTGGACAATGGTGTTGAATATATTAATAAGTTTAAGTTTTTAAGGCATAAAGTTAGAATAGATTCATGATAGCAATAATTAATATTTTGTCCATCTACAAACAAAACATTGTTGGCATGCCATATAAATACCATGCAGCAAGGCTTTATTTAGAAAAAAAATTACAACTTGAACATGAATTTACTAAATATATTGTATATATTTTTTAATACCTCTACATCTGCCTCGGAATCTGAACTAGGTAGAAATAGCCCATACTGATCCGAGTTCTTGCTGATCATCTCTTCCCGCCTAGGAGATGTAATTCCTGGAACACAAATGGATTGTCATCTCTTCATCTTCTGACGCTGCATCTGAAATATAATGGACAGATTGTAAATAGTGAATTTAAATTGGAATGAAAGTTTTATCTGTTAAAATTAATGTGATGTCTTCATACCATGTCATTAATCTTAACGGCAATACGATCACCTGAAACGTTTGGGATACAGGGTTTTGACTTGTAGAAAGTAGAAAGTAAGGATACATGTTTAAGACCAGTTTAAAGTTGTAAAATTCAATTAGGTTTTCAATTTTTTTTACTCTTCGATGGTTGCTTTTATACTCCGGAATCAGTCGCTTTCGTACCTGACTGTTATTCCCAAATACAGGGGATTGTGATAAATAAATTCACGCGCCACGTATTGTATTAAATAATATCTGGAATTAATTAAATAAATCCTCTTTGGAACTCAACTTAAAGGCAATGCCGGTAAACGTTTTAGACGGATATTTTGCAGAAATATTTGACATGTCATTATTGTTATGTACCTCGATGAATTTATTATAGTCGAAACTTTCTTGAAACCTGAAATATTAAAGCAAATTTGAAATTTCTAGTTCATACAAATACATCATGTTCGTTCATATTTTTAAACCAAATTCCTTGGATGTTTTCAAAAAGCAAATAATAGAGATAGGCTAAACATTGTACCGCTTTTTAACAAAAACAAATTTTGTTATTTTATTTTAGTCAAAATATAAAGGACAAACCCTGTGTCACAGAAGTCTGTTTAGTCTGTTATGTCACAAATGAACTCGGTCTGATCGGCATAGATTTGGATTGTCGTCTGCTCTTGAGTGACACGATAAATAATGATTGTTGTCATTTCACATCATGTCTTTAAACTCTCGAATATCGTGCGTTAAAATGTCTAGATTCTTATTTGTATTGGTGTGAAATATATTTCTGTTTAGACTAGTTGTAACAGATTTCTCACAGTATGGCTTCTGGGCTTGATTAAACATGGTTTGTTGTTATTAAAACAAAATGTTTACCGTTTCTCAGCTCTTAACCGCACTAAATACTCTATAGACACTTGTGTGCATCAGTAGCCTTAATGTAGGAGCTACCAGAGATTTGTATTTTAAAAATATCGAGCACAAAAGATTTGAAAGGTAAACTCATTAGATAGTGGGGGGATAGGAACCTCCGAATGACCGAGAAAGTTCATCCAGATTTTCCGGCGTGGTTCCCCCTTGTCACTGATGCAGGACGGAGGGCCTGACAAGGACGGCTGTTTAGTGGTTTGGATGGGACGAAAAACCGAGGTCCCGTGTACACATTGTCATGCACGTAAAAGATCCCTTGACAGTTGGAATTCGATAAAAGAGTAGGTCGTAGTGCCGCTGTCCGGGCAAAATTTCCCTCATAGCACATTGTATGGCGTATGCCCGTCTTCATTAGCCCAGTTCGGAGCAGAGCAGTAGGACGTTAAACCCCATTTCATTTCTTTAGAAATCGGTAGTTCATAAGTGTGTGCAAAAGCTATGTAAGAACGTCATAATTGTCAAGTAATATACTAACAATTGTGAAGTTGACATAAAATTAAATACTGAAAAAAAACACACAATACCCCCATCTTCGACAAAGAATAGTGTGTTGGTTAAATTTTGATTTAAACCAAAATGCAGAAAACATAATGAACAAGGTAACATACGGCATTTCTGAAATCCATTAACGATAAAAGAAAGAGTTATCTCCCGTTCTGTCAAATGTTTGCGGCGTGACTGCTGATACTGTATGGCGCACAAGACCATGTGCGAGCACACAAGCCCAATATGTATATCGTTAATGTGACCCCAAGGTTCTGCGAGGGTTGGTGGGTGAGAGTTTACCCAGACATTATTGGCTGGGTGGCTAGAGACTGATGAGCCAGGACATATGTGTGACATTGGTTGAGCAATATGGTTATGAAGTAATGGAGACCAGAATCTGTCAGAAATCGCATTGAAATCACCTGATCTTGTCCACTAAAATATAAATCCACACCCCACATACCCTTTCAATTAGACCCTACAGTATTTTTACTAAAGGTGTAAACCTCTAGTTCAGATATGACTTAAAGCCAAATTACAAACATATTTAAAATGCAACCGTATCTGTAATTGTGTAATTTGCTAACAAATATAGATATAAGACAAGAACTAATTATTTATTGACGTAAATGTCATCAAAGTTAGTCATCATCATCATGGCTGTCACTACATGTATAAACGTCAAATTCGATCTCTTTAACAGTCTTTTCATTTCATTTTCACATTGACTACACTTACAGACATGTACAAGACAGCTCCGGTGGGATTTCCCCGCCTCAGTGGTACAGGATGGGAGGGAAAGCTATATTTTAAACACCATTTGATTCAACAAACTGAATCGAATTGAACAACAGGTAAGCTACATAGGTTCTTTTAAAACAGTATTTCTACTAGAACATAATAATGTAAACCTTTAGTTCATATAAGATTTGAGGCTAAATTACTAAAAAAATATTTGAATTAAAACAAAGCATCTATAAATGTGTAATTTTCTCACTAAAATAGATATATAGCAAATACTAAAAAATACTGTAAGAGTGTGGCAATTGTAATGAAGAGAAAATAAATCAAATGGAGTTTAATAAATAAATGTTCAGTATCAACCGGGATAATGAAGATGTACATGCTTCATGCCTTATGTTTTAGGGAAAATCTGGCCCAAACAGCGATGTTACGGTTTACTCTTTATTTCGAACGCCAACGTGTACACGGGACCTCCGAATAACTAGACGCTGCATGACAAAGGGGAAACAATGGGAGAAGTTTCTAGGCCAACATGGGGATCAAACTCCGGACCTCCTGATTAGTGAGCAAGCTCCTTACTCACTGAGCCCTGCCCTGTACCACTGACAAGGGGAAAAGACGCCGGACCAGGATCAAACCCTGGAACCCCGGTAAGTGAGCCAACCCCTGACCGAGTCACCACGGCTCCCTTGCACTGATGACATTTGCATCGGAAATGAATTTCCAAAATTCCGTATGTTCCCTTGTCCTTTATGTTTTCTGCATTTTGGTTTAAATAAAAATTTAACTAATACCATATTCTTTGCCGAGGATGAAGGCATCTAGTGTTTTCGCCAATATTTAATTTTATGTCAACTTCACAATTGTTAGTATAAATATAACATTTACTTGACAATTATGACATTCTTAAATGGATTTTGCATCGAATTCGACACTTAAGAACTACTGATTCTTCATCAGGAAGGTCAAAAGAATATTCAAACAAAGTTTCATTAATGTACTAAAAATGTGATTTAAACCTGAAAAAGCGCCCACTTTAGACCGTTATTTCGCACCAAATTTGTCACTTAAGAATGACACATCTGGCACCAGTTTGATCGATGTACTCAAAAATGTACGTCATGGTCACAAACTGTAAAATTGAAAGTGATAAACGGAAAATAATTTGATTTACATTCGAAGTTTCCATAGAATTCTTCCTCATAAATTAGAAATCTCCTATTTTTAAAATGAAATTTATCGAGATCGTTGCCCGTTTTCGTGTAAAAGTGAAAATAGCTTTGAAATTTACCATCGAAGTATCCTGAATTTCGATGGGGTCCTCCCTATGGCCCAATGAAAGTCTCAGCAGCGTTTAAACAAAATGAACAATCCTATTAAAAGTCTCCATGCACCTACAACTCGATACTATAATATCGTCTTTCATATCCGAACGTTTGAAGAAATATTTTACAAGAGTGTGTTGCTGTCATCCGCGAAACCTTTTCGGTAAACAATCTGTGGAATATATTATGTCTACATTATTATTATTATTATATTACATGAAAAGCTTAAAAAATCTATCATTCGCATATCAACATCTTTCGTTTTATTGCTTTTATATTTTTAATTTTGAAATGGTGGAGATTTGTTGTAGCCTCATATCAGCCTCCAAATTAACCAGTTTGTAGCAATCTGTACAATATCTTCAATCGAACGATAAATAGCTCCCCCGGCAGATATATTTTAAGAATGTTTTTGGTCCTGTTATACACGACATGTGGTGTTGTTTTAAAGCGAAATGTTTAAATAACCAATCAATTGTAGATCGAATTGCCCACATTGTCCCACATTTGGGCCAAGGTGACAAGAGTATAAAAATTTAGGTTAAGTAATAGGTTAGGATTAAAATTATGATGTTGCTCCTACAGGCTATGAACAAGACAGGTTCTATACCTGGACAGCTATTGATTTAATATTTAAATACATGTATTTAGTTATATTTACTGGAGATCCATCACCATCCTGGGTAAATATTTTGGACTTTAAAGTCAATCCAAGACTTCTGTACCCAATAGTCCGGTGTGCAGTTTCATTCCCTTTAATATAAAATGGGAATTCCATTATTCTGCTTAGGGTTACTTTCAATTTTCATTCACACTTCGACCTACTTTTATTTCGATTTCCCTATGCTGCCAACGGCATGCTCTGTTTTCCATTCCATTCGAACGACTAGGTGCATTTCCACACCAGGCCTCCGTGCTGCACTGGAAGAGGGGGCAGACTGGAAAATCCCCAACCATGAAAAGTTCTATGGTCGTAGAATTGTACATACAGCAATGATCGTGGTATGTGACGTCTTATCGGTGAATGAACCTAGAAGTGAAGCATTGTTTTAAGGTCCTTAATGACACAAAATACTCCATTTAATCAAATAAAATGTTTTTCTGATACAAATAATCACACACTTTTATCAGCTTTGTTTTAGTGTGTGGATGTAAAGTTGTATTTGTTGATAACACTTCTGGAAATAATGCAACTAAGGCTTATAAATAGAGTTATTCAAAATTACTTTAAGCATACAGGAGATTGTGGAACTTCAAAATCACTACCGAAAATTATATAGACTATTTCAACGAATACACAAATTTACGAAAAAAAAACCCAATTGTATTATAGACAATTTTAGATATCATAAAGGAAAATAATTATGAAGAAGCTGCAGTATAAAATTGCAGAATGGATATTTGACTTAGTTTTCCATAAGCCCTCA